CTGCGTCTCCTCAGGGCTGCAGAGCCAACCTCAGTGAATAATCCACCCTGGGTTTCTGGGACGGGAGGAAATCCACAGAGGCCTCTACCTCCCGTCCACCGCAACATCAGAACAACACGTGTAGGTCCCCTTTGATGTCAATTCCCAAACCAGCGCCTCCATACCCTGCTCAGAAGGACCTGGTGCTTTGAAGCTGGCCTATAAACTGAGCTTTCAGGAATAAAGTTGTCTGTCTCTCCTTTACAGAGTGGACGGTGCGTACTCTAAGGCCGTTGAGGAAAATCATCAACACCTGATAAATAATTCTTTCTGGGACCTAGAAGGATTCCTTCCATTTAAAGGGGATAGAAAAAAACACTGACCCTTTTTATTGAATTCCTTGGGTTTGAGGAAGCCTTTTTTCAGGTCTTTTCACTGCAGATGGTTGGGTGGCACCAGAGTTCACTTGCAGCACTCACCTCAGGAAGGAACTTTCTCCATTATTTCTAGGGCTGTTTCCCTACTCCCTCCCTACCCCATCTCCCCATTCCTTCCTCTCTTCCTTTAACCCCTACTGTGTAGAGGGTCCTCCACCTACCACAGACTTTGTATTTTGTGATAGGTGCCTGGCATAATGTGGGCATGTACTAACATTCATTGATTAAGTGCAGGAGTTGAGGGGGAGATCATCTGGCAAACGGCCTCAGAGAAACAGTGACAGCATCAAGGGATTGTTCTCAACTGTGCCTGCCTCAGGAAGGAACCTGGGGCCTGCTCCCAGCTCCCATTCCCTCTGGGTGCTGGCCTAAGAAGGAGGAGCTACTCAGCAGTGGCAGAGCAGTGTATCCTGAGGACTCCTTACTTCGAAGGGGCCCCCACCAGGACACCAGGGCTGCCAGACACGAGGGCCACGGACTTCAAGGGCAGTGCAGCCTAGTAACAAGGACACATGGGATCTGGGAGCCAAGGAGATTCTGCCTCAAAGAAACACGGACCTTCGGCAGAGGGCACTCTGCATTTCTACATTTCTGTGCCATAAAAAAAAAATAGCAAATGCTGATTAGCCGATGATAGGCTTCTGGGGGGAAGCGCGATATTTGGTGAGGGCAAAGGACACAAGCAGGGAAAACTCTAATACTCCACATTTTCAGAATAAAGTGCTATGGGTGGTCCAGGAGGGCAGGTTATTATTGTTCTGAGTGAATGAATTCAATGAATGAAAAGGCATTTATGTAGCCCTTACTATGTGCAAAGTGCTGAGGATACAAACAGAAAAGATAGTTTTCTCTTCTCAAAGAGCTCAGTCTAATGGGGGGAGACAACCCCTATATATGGAAGGTTTCAAGCGAAGGTCAGATAAAGATCCCACGTGGTTCTTAGGGTGTGGCCGCAAAGCAAATGGAAATTCCTCCTTTAAGGTCATTACCACTGATAAAATCTTGCCAGTTTGAATACTGAACCATTGGATCACGTTAAGGATTTCAAGTATGAGGGTCTTCAGCACCAAAAGAGGAAGCAGCCAGGGCGAATCTCCATAGCGGGTTATTTCCCAGGATGAGGGCTACTAGCACTGGGCTGGAATCAGGGAAGGCTTCGTGGAGGTATTGAAAAGAAAGAGTTAGAATGAGAAGGGAAAAAAATTTGGACTTCAGCACTCAACAATAAGGTCTTCAGAATTCCTCTGAAACATTTTCTCCCCTAAGTAATTGATTCATTTGGTAGAAAGTGACATCAACTATGAATATTTATATTACAAAAAAAGTTAAAATTGTGCAGGGATGGGGCTCTTTCAGACCAGAAACTTTGTAGGTTGTAAAGCGCAAATTACGGAGGGACCCCCTCACTGTATTTGTCCTCTACTGGGTGATGAGAGTCTAAAGATGTAAGTGTATCGTTCTGCCCAGAATAAAGGATAAGGCATTGAGCTCATTTACATATGAAAAGAATAGCAGGGACACTGGACTTTGACCCTAAGGCAAAAACCATTTTCTGTACCTTTTTCTTAGTCATTAATTTTTATGTACCAAATGGAGAAACTTGAGTTAAACAAAAAACTAGAGAACCCTGAACCCCAAGATCTGTTTGCCTGTTTATGTCCTAGTTTTCAGAGATGGAGACTTGGGACATATGTGGATGTGGTCATCATAAGTTAGGGTAAAGTTTCTTACTGAGGGGATCCAACCCTGAACAAAGAATGGTCAAAAGGAATGACTAAATGTCTACTCTCCCAGCTCCTTCTTGGGAGGTGGCAAGCCTGAGTCAAGGCTCTGAGGGATCAGAACTGGAGAGGCTTCTGACACAGTACTAGATTAAGATTCTTTGATCCTTCTGAAAGAGGCAGCAGTTAAATACCCCAGCCAAGGATTCTGGCTGAACCTGAACCTACTTTATCTGTCCACTGAGAAGCAAGCCCACTGAGGCCAGTAGATGAACCCCTCCAGCACATATATTCTGCCCTTTGAGGATCAAGCCCAGCTAAGCAAATCATCCAATAAAGCAAGCCAGCAGTGAATGAAGACATCTAGGAACATGCTGCCTTACTTCTTGTACTATGCGCTCATTTTTTCCACAGATATAGTATGGGCAAGGGAACCCTAGTTTTATGGGGCAGATGTTCTCTATTTTTCCTGAGTCATTTGAGCAAAATGCCTTTGCTAAGTGCTTAGTCTTCTGGCTGACAATTAATGGAAAGCACACTGGTGGGGGCTTACAAAAATGCAGTTTCAGAAAGGTGATGCTATAGGGTATGTACCCTTGAACTTTGAAAGTAGTTGCCTTTGGAGCAAGATGGAGTGCAAGTTTGGAGAGAGTCAATTACAGCACTGAAAATGATACAATAATATTCAATTTGTTCCAATGACACCATTCTGTTTTTTAATTCAACACTTCTTCCTCATCTGTCCTTCATGCCAGGATCTATTCCCTCAATCCCCCTCTCCAGCTGTTTGACTGTTCTTGTTCTTAGGCTCTCACCATTCAGTAACTGGTTTCTCTCCAAAGAACAAACTTAGAAAAGTACTTTGGCTGATCAAGATGGCTGCTCATTTATCTGGGTTATTGCATTCAGCCCTGTCATAATTTTATATTTGTATGCTTTTTCCTTACTTTTGGCCTATGATGTCCTTTCTAGGGACTACGAAGAGCAGCAACTATCCATGTTCCATTTATATGGCAGGACCAAATTTCATCTTTGTATTCTCACTGTCTAACGTAATGCTTGAAGTATAATAGGAAAGAGGCTGGAGGTGCGGTTAATGGAGGTTCTCATTAATGGAGAATTTCTGGATGAGGCAATTCCCTCTACCAATGCAGGCTGGCACTTTCTGGGGCACTGAGAGGTCAAGGGACTTGTCAAGGGTCACATAGCCGGCCAGTATTTATCGGTCGGGACTTAAACCAAGGTATCCCCAACTCCAAAGTCAGCTACACCCCAACTACTTTTCTGGTTGGCACACAGGCATTTAATGTCTACTGAATTGAGTAAACTTACTTTCAAACTAATAGTAATCCTTAGCACTTCAGGGATGCTTAGTCAATATTGCTAGTCTAGACCACAGCTCTAGAGCTGGAAGAGATGTTTCAATTTAGCCCAACCCCCTCCTTTTACAGATGAGAAAACTGAGGCCCAAGGAGGTTAGCCGACTTGGTCAAAGTCAGTGTCAGGGGTAGGATTTGAACCCAGGTCCTCTGACTCCAGAGGCAGTGCTCTTCCCATTCTAGGAAGGGAAATGATTACTCGGCTGGGAGTGGTCCCTGCCCTGTACAGTTTTTTCTTGTCCTGTCACCATCTGCTCTGCATCTCAAGCCATCAGTTCCATGAAGTGACTCACTCATTCTCCTTTCAGGTTCTTTCCAAGATGAAGCCACTAAGGACAAGGGGTGCCCATGGCCCTTCAGACTACTGGCTATGTCCCATCTAAGGTTAGGCTGTGGCTCCCCATGGGGAGGACTTTCCCATTTGTAAGCCAGCTCCTGGAAGAATCTAAGAGGAAAGAAAGCAGTCTAACTAGCACCCGCTACTGTCTGCAAGAAACTTCATGGATTTGCTACAATTCATATTCGCATGCCCAGAAACCTGTGGCACATATACAATCAGCCAGCCCTCTGCAAGGACTGTACCTTGCTCCTTAGGATTCGGAATTCACAAGTACCCTTATTCCACCTTTCTAATGTCCCCAGGTGAGTGTCCCCCCCTCTTCAATTGTCCTAGAACGCTTTGTCTGGATCCCTCCTTTGCTTAACATTCACCTGTGCATGCTTTGCCCTTCCCCTTCCTTACTGGGGTGCAAGGTCCCAAAGGCAGGGAGCCACAATTCTTACCATGGGGTCTGAATTTAATATTTTTAACAACTCTATAGAACGGGTGTAAAAGGCTTCACTAGACTGCCAAAGTGGTTCAGAACACAAAGGAGCCTAGTTCATGCCGATGCCACATCGTTTAATCCTCTTACACAACAACCCTTTACATGTCAAAGATTCCCTTTGTCTTTAAGCCCTCCAACTGAAAGTGAAGTCCTCTCACCCATACTAGTCCCCTTTGGAGATACTTGTCAAATCTTCCTCCTGAAACTCAGCACTACAGATATGTTCTGACAGGGGTACAGAGGGATTACAACCTGATCATTTTGGACCCTAGCTAAGCAGCCTAAAGTTCTATCCCATTCTGGCCACCACCCTGAGCTTACAGTTTACTGAAGCCCCCATTTTTTTCATTATGAGCTGCTATTTCGTTCTCTCCGTTTCAGTGACCATGGCTCAGTAAAAGCAGCAAAGGGGCCGCTGGCCTGGATTTAAAGTCATATTGGCTGTGTGACCTTCACCAAAGATTGCTTATTGTAGTGGGAATGTAAGGTTGTCTCAGCGGATGGCTATTACCCAGCCACCAACCAGCTCACAAGCATACGATTGGCCACAAGGTGACTTCCAAGAAAGTTGGTCACATCAACTCATAGAACATATACAGAGGGGCAGAGATCTATCGGTGGCAGAAGAAACTACATTGATCAAACAATCCACAGACCTTTTGAAATACCAAAGAAAACTTTTTTATATCAGTATAAAATTTAAATATGTGAAAAGTAAATCATAGAACTTTAGACCTGAAAGGGACCCTTGGAGTCATCTAGTCTAGAGAGGCCAAACACACAGCCTGCACTGAACCAGATTCAAATGTAACTGGGAAATATTTTTAAAATAAAAATACATAGATAACACTAATATATGGTTTTCTATATCAACATGGGGACCTGAGGAACCTTATGTCCAAGTGAGTGTACCCCTGTCCCTGCTTTTCTATGTGAGTTTGACACCACTGATCTAATCTAACTTCATTTTACATGAGGGATGCTAGAGACCAGGGAAGTGAAGTAATTTGCCAAGATTATTCAGCAAGTAGGTGGCAGAGCCCACAGGGGTAGGGAAGGGAACGTGCATTTATTAAATGCCAACCATGTGCCAAGCACTGTGCTGAGTACCTTACAAATGTTAATTCATTTGACCTTCACAATATCCCTTGTGACGTATGCTAGTGTTATCTCCTTTTTACAAATGAAGAAACCGAGGCAAGCAGAGGTTAAGTGACTTGCCCAGGTTCACACAACTAGTATCTGAGGCTAGAGTTGAACTCCTTCCTGACTCCAGTCCAGTACTCCACTCACTGTGCCACCCAGCAATATCTGGGGGAGAACACAAAACAAGTCACTTAAAGATGGTAACTATGCCCATAGATTCAAGTTGGAATTACTAAGGTATCTCTTCTTATAAGTATCCCTATGTGACCGATAGTGACATACAAATATCTCAAATGGACTGTTAAATTTTCAGCTAAAACAAGAAAAAAAAAAGGGCCAAAATCCTGTTATGAAAATAGCCAATTAAATAAATTTGTTTTAGCTACTTTCACATTATACTGACTGACCTCTCATTTACTGGTTAGGTAAGTTGCTAATAGGGAGATACAACAGAAAGCTGTGGACCAAGTCCCTACCATTAACTCCAAGAGGGGAAAATTGCCTTGCTAGGCTTCAGTTTCCCCAGCTGTAAAATATTTAATTATCTATCTCACAAGATTATTTCAAGATGATGACATCGTGTCAAAGGGCTTCTTAATTGTAAATGCATGAAAAATGCAAACTATTATTTCTAAATTAGGGTACTCTAACCTCACAAGAGAAGTAACAATGAAATCAGAAAAGAACTTCAAACAAAAAACACAGTCCAGGCAACAGAATTGGAAGAGGACATACTGCTTTCAGTGTCTTGCATGGTAAAGCTTTATCAAATTCTCTGAGATGCTGTAAGTTTTAGAGAATGACAAAAGAGGGATGATAAGAAAATAGTGGAAACATCTTTTCCTCCCGTGACTTTAAAATAATCAACCAATTTAATTTTGCACTTATTCCTTTCAAAAGAAATTAATTTTGTTTCCCTGATCACTTAATCCGGTGTCATATAATTTACTACTACAAAATGTGTTACATTATACAATACACTGTATTGTATAATGGTACTGGGTCAACTTGCTGTAAAGGACCATTACTTATGGTAATAAAAAACAAAAACAAAAACAAAAAAACAAACCAAAATACCCCAAACCCTTCAGTGTGGATAGCACAGTGTTATCCCAGCCTAATAGTATCTACTGCCATGATTCTTTGGGCTCATGAGTAGAGCAGAAAAATAACAATAAACTAAAGACCCATTCTTTTTGCCAGCTAGTAATAATAATTATAATATATCAATGCCAGGAGATATTTCCATGATGAACAGTTCCACTACATCAAAGTATTATAATTAAAGAGGTATTTTTCTCATAAACGCACCATCACATTATCAAATTAACTTTTATAAGTGAAAACATTAGGGACAAAAATAATAAAAAAAAGAATGGAACATACAGCTGTCAAAAACAAACACCCACAAAATAGTACTAAGAAGTTTCAACAATATTCCCCACATAATTTCATTAGGAGGGACTTAAAAAAGGGGGGGGAGTAGTTATTTAGAGGGTAGATGATGATAATGTGAAAGGAAGCTGGGAATCATATTTATTTGTCTTTTGTACAATGCAACTCTTATATTTTACAAAAATGGATATAATCATGCCCATAAAATTGTAATCCATGGCATCTGAAAGCAAACACTCTTAGTAATTATTTAAAAGAAGGGCCTTTTTTTAAAATTATAATACAAAGGTCTGTGCTGTAGAAGCAGTCCTCCACTGTGCATTATAACAATAAGGCTTACTTTGAATACAAAGACTAATCACACACTTGGAAGTTATGAACCACTGGATTTAACAAACATCATTTTGTAATTGCTTTTCGCATCCTTCTTCACTTTGGGGTCCTCCACTTCCTCTGGCTGTTCAGCAGATTGCAGCTCCTCAGCAGATTCTTCTTTCTCAGACTCTGAATCGCTTTCAGAGTCCTCTGGGCTTTCAGGGTCAGGTGAATCATCATCGTCGTCATCGTCATCATCATTTCCAGCAGCATCACCTTCCCCATCAGGATCCTCTAACTAAAAATAAAAGAGGTATGCCCTTTTCATAATGAGATCTTGTTTTAGATGACTCAACACAGGAATCTAAAAAGCCTGAAAGAAGTAAAGGATCTAGTCTCTGTGAAAGATTTAACTTACTTTCCTTTTTCAAAGTTATTATCCCATTCTACATGGTTTTAAGGGCAAAAAAAAGATTAACTTTAGCTTAATTATTCTAATAAAACCTTTTGCATACAATGTTACTTTCTGGTAATTTAACAGTAGTTATTAAGTCAAGGGACCTTAACAGATATATCACTGTTAAACTCCATCAATTTTAAAATAATATTGAGGATTTCTTAATGTGAAACCCAAAGTTACATGAAAGGGACAAAAGACAAACAAAATGGAGCCTTCATTAGCCAATTAAAAAAAAATCTTATCTAATTTGTGGGTGAAGGGTTTATCTAGAGCAGTAGTGTCAAACTGAAACAGAAAACAGGACTAATTAAGGCTTTCTGTGAGCATATATTGACTTAGAAAACTATATATGGTAAAATTACCTATGTTCTACTGTATTTTTATTTATTTTGTAACTATTTCTCAATTACATTTCAATCTGGTTCTGGCTGCACTCTGTTGGAGAACATGACACCTCTGTTCTAGAACAAAGTTCAAATTTTTAAAATTACCAGAACACATTATATTTGGCTTACGTTTAGAAAGCACATATACTAAAGCTTGAATATATATTGTTATAAAGCAGAATTCAGCATAAAGAAAGTCTTATTTTAAATTATCTTGTGTTAAATACACAAGGGCCGTGTATGGCCCACAGTCCTCCAGAGTAAAGCCCAAACCTGACTAAAACGTAGCTATCAGATTTTAATGTGCTGATACACATGTAAATGTGTGTGGTTTTCTAAGTCAATATGTGGCCTGCAAGGATCCTTAAGTATGGTGGAGAGGCCATTTCTACTCATTTCATATCACTGCTCGAGAGCATCTGAGGGCAGGAACTCATTTGTTAAAAAATAGTAACTTATCATGTTAGGCTGTTCAAACAGTCCTTCAATCCCCAGGTGAGTAATGATCAACACTCATCAATTCTATTTAGATGACGTCTTTCCAATGAATGAAAATAAGTTAATCACTACCTCACTGAAGCCGAGGCCACAATGTCGCCGATATCTCCCTGATAATTTACTGTCCATACTCTGCTGATACTGTGACTCCAGCTCTTCATTCATTTTCTTATCTTCTTCCCCTGCATGTCCAGTGTACTTTGGTTATGTTTCAGTTAAATTAATAAAAACATTTGATTACACAAAACAACCATAATACAGATCACTCTAATATACAGGGCTGATTTTTAAAAGTTATGATTTAATCATTTTAACTTCATGGATGTATTTGAACTCCACAAGAATTTACCCAAGAGATCAAAAGGCTCAAACTGGACTATCAAAGTACTCAATGTCTATATTGGCGACTAATTGTTGGAACCAATATTCTCAATTTCAAAGTGTTCAACCCAATAATTCTAACCAGGCAAGCCAGACATCATAAGGTTGCATGGTCTCAGAACAATACTCTGAGTTACCTTTTTCTGATTAAAAAAAAATGAAAGAGGTAAGGGCAGGAAGTTAAGTTAATGTATATTTTCTTCTGAAAATTCAACTGTCAATAAGTTGCCTTACATATCCCCTAAACTCCAGAATTCCTTCCACTCGATGAAAACACTGAAATACGTTTCATCAAGGGTGCAGATCACCTAGTGAAAAAGGACCAACTTGTCAAGTGTTATGCCCTTATGGCTTCTCTGCATTAAAGTTTATTGTAGTAAGTTAACACATATAACACATAACACTAATACCCATTTTTATATATTAAACTATAAAGGGAATTTCTTGCTTCAGTAACCCAAACAACAATCAACTTCCGTGTCCTTACTATTTGCTTGACTCACAAAGTTCTCAGTTTAAAAGAATATAAGCAGCTAAACCCTGTACCTTCTCTAAGAAAGATCAAGAACTAGAACCTTTTCAAAGCTAAACAACTGGTATACTCAAGTGTTCTTGCAGTGTGAAGCTAAAAATTTTTTATTTAAAGAGCAATTTTAAATGAGAAAAAATCACAGGATTTAGGGTTATAAAAGACTTTGGAAATCATCTAGTTTAACCTATTCATTTGACAGATGAGCAAACTGAGGCCTAGAGAGGCTAAATAATTTAGTCCCAGCCACACATATTAAGTAGTAGGACCAGTGATTCAAAATAACTTTTTATTACAAATGGAATATAGACAGTTCTTGGTCTACACATATTCAACTTTACATAAAGAATTCTGAAAGAAATTCACATTCCAAAAAAGTACCAATGTTAACTTTACCATATAATACTGTGTTCTCTCTGCTTCTGCCCCTTGGCTTGGTGCTCCACCCCCCCCCCCAAAAAAACCTTAAAAAACCCCCCCCCCTTAAAAAAAAAAAAAAGCAAAAAAAACAACAACAAAACACTTCTCCAAGTGAAAGTGCAACTGAAGTGCTTGCGACTACCAAGCTGAGAGGGCTCCAGCATGTGTCCCAGCTTCTCCTGTCTGTATCTGCCCCCATCCCCCCTTGTTCTTTCTCTTGGTTCCAACCAGGCCCCCATGTGTTCCACCTCCTGCTCTAGCTTCTCTGTCCCCAGCCCCCATTTGTCCTAAACTGTGTGCCAACCCCCTCATTCATGGACATGTGGGTCTCCTGCCTGTCTCCCTCCATCTTCACCTTCCCCATTTCCAAGGGCAAATTCATATTATGTAAAAATTGCTTTACATAAAGGTCTGTGGAATGCTTCACTTCAAAGCAAGAACTGTCTGTACTCCTTCATCCGAGTACCTGCCTCTCATTTTTCAGTGGTCTCCCTCAAGTCAAAACTCAAGCTACAATTTTAACAAAGCAATTTTTCCCCCCGAAACCTGAAAATCATATTAATTTCTTGAGTATTTTTAGGGATTTTCTTTGGACTTTAATTCTAGACTCCTGATTGGGAGACTAATCCAATTTGTTGGCAGGCAGATGGCATGGTGGAAAGGTTTCGCTAGAAGATCTCGGATCCAACCCTATCCATCACTTGTATGATCTTGGGCAAGTCACTGTACCTTTTTAGGCTTAGATTTTCTCATATGTAAATTCAGAATGTTGGATCAGATGGTTCCTAAGGTGACTGCCAGCTCTGAATCCATGATCTTATTAATTTATTATGACTACCATAATTATAAGTACTAATATAACGGCAAAAGAAAGCAAGAAATCTCCATAATGACAGAGTGAAAATCTTTATGCAGGTAAAAACCAACAATACGATCTTATTAAGAAGGATAAATATTAGGGGACAGCTAGGTGGCGCAGTGGATAGAGCACTGGCCCTGGAGTCAGGAGGACCTGAGTTCAAATCTGGCCTCAGACACTTGACACTTACTAGCTGTGTGACCCTGGGCAAGTCACTTAACCCCACTGCCCAGTGGGGGGGGGAAAAAAGGAGGATAAATATACCAGAGTGGCAAAATAACAGAAACAAAATTGAAGCATAACCAACACCTACCTTTTTATATTAAAAAAAAAAAAAATTAAAAAGGAACTGTGCTTTGGTTGAATTCCACAGTCACCAGATCCAATTAATTCACACTATTAGAAGTTACAAACTTTTGATATTACTACATTTAAACATCTTACTTTAATTATATTGTACATTCTTACCTGTTCTGAAGTGAGATGTTGACCTATGATCTCCTATAACAAGACGGCCAGTGTGTTCTTTCTATTTAAAAGATGGAAAATTAGAAGTTGTTAAAATAATTTTTATACATATACATCCCACGAGGATTAAAAAGCTTCTGATGTCCACAACTGTGTTCTGATACATAACAAAATCTGAAATTGCTTAGAATCCCCCATGTAATTAGAGAGAGCCTTTTGACTGGCTAGAAGCCCCCAAAATCTACATTCAAAAAAATATCTTAAGTGTTTTGATTTTAAGTTTTTAAACGCTGAGTGAGACATACAAATCTACTTTGGAAGATTTTTGAATGAATTTTGGTCATAGGCATACAGAACCCTAATAGTCTGCAGACCAGCTCTGTCTACCAAAAGTTAAATCTTTTCTTCTAAGAGTAGAGAATATTAAAAACGAGTTAAGCACAATGATTTTACCTACAATCTCCCAAACTGTTCTTAAGGTCATAGCTCCAGAGGTAGTTTGGTGGATAAAGCTCTGGGCCTGGAGTCAAAGAAAACCAGAGTTCAAATAAACCTCAGACACTTACTAGCTGTGCAACCCTGCACAGTCACTTAACCTGTCTGCCTTACTTTCTTGAATTGTAAAATGGGGATCACAAGAGCACTCACCTCCCAGGGTTGTAATAAGGACTAAATGAGAGATCTGTAAAGTGCTAAGGGCAGCCCCTGGCACATAGTAGGCACTTAATGCTTGTCCCCTTCCCTCTTCACAGGAACTAAAACAGATACCTTAAATTACCCAGTCCAACCCCCTCATTTGTACTTCATTAAGTGTGCCTATGTGACAGGCACTGCATGAAGTGATGGGAATAAAAAGATAAAAATGAAAAGTCCCTGACCTTAGATTCTATTGAGGGAAATAACAAGTATACACCAAACTATATACAGAATTCCAAAAAACGGGTGGAGGGGGGGAGAAGGTAGTTTTGGGAGTTACTAGCAGCTGGTGGCATCAGGTGCTACTTGAGTGGGGTCTGGCAGAGGAGAGGAGGGAACTCACTGCATTTACGTGGGAGAACCAGTGTAAAGGCAGAGGTGGAATGTCCTCAGAGCAGTTATGGATGGAGCAAGAAGTGCAAGGACATTGAGTGGGCAGAGGTCAGGTTGTGAAGACAGGTAAGTAGAGAAAACAAAACAAAAAAAACCTGAGGCACCAGAATTTTTAAAATCTATATCCAACATGTTAAAACCACAGATTTAACACGAAGAAAAAACCAATGAGCTAAAACAAAACAAAAAAACCCCACAAACACTTTGATTTACATTCTTCCTGACATTCTTTAAACCTCCCTATACAGTCACTTTGATTCAACGTTATGAAAACTCTCTTACTAATAGTTTCTGGAGTTTTTAAATTCCTGTCTTCTCAATCTTCTAAAGTTTTTCCCTAATTTTCTCCTCTTCCATATTTATCTAACTTTGCTTATGTTACCACATACTTTAGCTTTCTATTTTCATGATGCTTCTTTTGAAAGATTGGCACCCTGAATAAGAGAAAGATCAATATATGATAAAGTGACGCTCTAAAGTATACAGCTGCAATATTAATCAACATATTGGTGCATGCTATATACTTTGATTTGCTCTGGAGATATAGGCTCCGACAGCCTAACTACTTATGGGCAGTTTCAAAGCTTAAACAGTTCAACTTGCAGTATGTTGTTAATCAAAAACATTTTACTTCCCAACAATGCCACTTAAGGGAAATGATGCTATATACTAAGCTTTTCTCCTTTTTGTTATTTATTTTTTCTGCCTTAGGGGATCCCATAATAATACTTCATTACTTGTAATGTTTATTTCTCATGGATATAAAAACTATCACATAAACTATGGAGTTGTCTGTTAATTTAATAATTTCACCTTCACCCAACATTAAAGGTTACGCAAAATTATATTTCTTATTACGTGAATATGTAAAGGATCTGTGGTTCAATAAGTATAGGAAACTCCTATGGTCATAGAGCTTACAAGAATGGGATCTGAAGCCAGATCTCACTGATTTACAACTAAACACTACACACTAAACAACAATTTCTCATTTCTTATTATGTGTTTATTTGACTACTGGCCTTTGTTGGTGGTGTAAGTTTACAATACAACTAAAAAACAATAATAAACAGTTTCCCTTCTCTGTATACAGGCACTTGCTAAATAGTTCTGACCTCTAACTGGGCTAACTAATACTCTCCTGGAGATTTATTATTATATCTACTTTTCAGTTGCTTCTTCAAGTTGCTTCTATCTCTCTATTTCTTTGTCCATTTATTCCCATATTTCTTTTAACATAGTTACAGCATGTACTGTTCTCATTTTACTTTATTTCATAAACAACACACTTCTCATATTCCTATCTATCAGTTGTATCTTAGCATTCTAATCTAATTACTCTACCACTATTTAACTCCTACTCTTAGGACATATAGGCTTCTGCCAGGGTTTTTTCCTCTTTCGATTACCAATACTGTTGTTATAAAAACCTTTGAATGGATAGCTTCCCCGAACCTCCCCCCTCTTTCTGTAGGACCCTCAGGGTCCATTCCCCACGATGGAATTACCATGAAGCACAAACTCTGGAAGAGGGGCTCATTATCAGCTGGCCTCACATGGGGTGATAAATGTTACTAGCGAAGCAACAGAGGACTTGTGATTTGTATTGGTGGAGCTTTATATAGTTATTATACAATCATGTGTGCCAGTTAATTCTTTAATGTTTACTGACTTCTGGCATTGTTGCTGAAAAGTGTTTCCTCTTACCTGGAAAATCTTGCTCAAGAATGGGAATGACATATAGGGAGAGTAAGGTTAACCAGAGAGCCCCAGTGCTCCATTCATATCCGTGCTATATCAAGAGATCTGGAGTATGTGGAGTGCCCTGGGTATTTGGCCTATGAAGAATTTGCTAGATGATGTGGATAAATTCTGTTCAGCCCGAGATGGTATGGAGGGGCTGTCATTTGGCCTTTTTTTGGAGAGGAAATACTGACACTGATGAGTTCAGGGATCCAATGAGGTATGAGAATGATTTTTTAAAATAGTGCAATCTTGCTTACTCATTTATTATTAATACTGATTTTTCTAGGTATACTATTTTAAGTCACCTGATAATATTTTGACCTCATTTCCAAAGTTAATCTCTCTAATCCTCTTTCTCTGTTTTAATGAGATTGCTTATATTTCTACTTTTGTGTTAAACTGTGGTAAAAATGAGAATACTTGTGAATGTAAGATTTTATTAAAGGCTTGCACTGCATCAACTTCTTTGACTTTATGATTTTCAGAAATGCTCTTGTTAATGATGTATTATTGACAGTTTTCCCCTAATATTAAACCTACTTTGCATATGTAACAAAACTTGCTTGGTTATAATTAATGAAAACTTAAATATATTGCAGTAAAATGAGGTTTTCTTTTTTAATACTGTCTTTGCTAGCCTTTAAAATCAATACCATATATTGATACTCTCTAGAATTGATCTGAAGTTCAGCTTAATTATCCTACTGTCCAAATCTTTTATTCTGTCTCTCCTTATCCACTAATCAATTTGCTCAAGGTTTTTTTTTTTTTTTTTTTTAAACATTCAGGGTTTAGTCCATCAATCACTGACCACATTTTTTTGGCCATTCCCTTGCGGGTTTTTAGTTTTTTCTATGTGGTTTCGCATTTTTTGTTAAATGATCTTTTCTCGGTCCAGAAAACTCCTACTCTGGTGCCTCATTATGACAGAGATGACCCTGGGTTTTTGAAGGCTATTGCATACTACACGTTTTGGTAGGTTTTACCAAGATGGAAAGGTTTCAAATACAGGTCTAATGTAAAACTATCTACAAGAAGGCTTACCACAAGCAGATTATTTTTTTTTCTTTTATGGCTAACCACAAATGGATAAAAATACAAAATGGGCTTTGGTCTTCATGGCCTATTTATGCTTCTAAAGTGACAGTGGGAGAAGAGGAGGCAAAAAGTGCTATGAATAATATAGCTCTAGTCTGTCTAAAAACATTTATTTTACTATTTATACCCTTAATCTGTAATTTTTAAACCAATAACTGACAAATATCAGCAACCAAACTATATTCATATTGATAATCTTACTTTAACTAAAAATGGAATATATAAACAAGTTATAGATCAGTGGGAAAGACTTCTCAGTTTTCCTCAGAGAAACAAATAAAGGAGTTGGTTTTACTATTTGTCCAAAGACAACAAGACACAATTTCAAAGGACAGTCAGTCATTTTGTCTTGCAGTGTTCGTGATAAACATAAGCAAATATTATCAACACAGGATAGCTGCAATTTATGCTAACATCTACAACAGAGAATTGAGTAGAGAACCTGACAAAGATGCCCCAAACTGAACTAACACAAAGCCTGATACCAGAGGACTTTAACAAGGTGGATCAAGAGAAAATAGCAAAACACTATGTGGTAAAATAAGATCTGATATTAAGACATCAAAGAGGCAAAAGACACGCAGACTATTCAGAAGTCTCACTCCCACATACCATCAATACTTTGCTTTAAAAAGAGAGCTAGTAGAAGGTTCTGGATGTGGCAGGCATTAACTGGCATCACAAAAAAATAAAACTGACTATGTCTACAAATATTCTTGCTATAAATTAGACATAAAGTTGTACCTAAATAGAATTTATTATGTATAGAGTAGTCATGTGTGAATTAGCTATCTGTTCATAAAGATTACTGACTAGGTTAGAGCAAAGTTCAAGCAAATACCAAATTTGAAAATATTATAAATTTCAGCAGATGCAACATCAGTTCCAAATAACCTGACTCTGAAAAATAGGACATGGACAATGGCAAAATATAGACTCAATTTATCACCATTTCTCGGAGAGAAATGAACACAAAACAACTGCTACACTGAGACAGCTCAAAGTTCTGAAACTGCTTTTGAGAACAAACAGCTTCCTTACCATGCAGAGTAGAGAAACATGGGAGGTAAAGGCAACATCAATTTTATGGCATATATTTATCTACAAATACTATATGGAAAATAACGTAAGATTACCAGCAATATAGACTCACTTGACAGTAGAAAACCTTCTAATTAAAAAAGAATAAACAGCTAAGTCAGCTTACCTCAAGAGACTTAATATACTGGAAGAACAAACCAGATATGGAATAGGACACATTTTTTTTTTAATTTTTAACATGTTTTTAAAACTTTGGGTTACAAATTTTCTCCCTTCCTCCCTCCCTACCCACCCTCATTGAAAAGGCATGCATCTCCATACAGGTTATAGATGTGTAGTCACTCAAAACACTTCCATAGTAGTCCTGTTGTGAAAAACTAAACTTCTCTTCATCCTATCCTACCCCCCATTTACTCTAGTCTCCCTTTTGACCCTGTCCCTCCTCAGAAGTGTTTGCTTTTGATTACCCCCTCCCCTCTATCAACCCCCTGCTCTCTTCTCCCCTTCCCCCCTTATTTTCCTGTAGAATAAGATAGATTTCCATATCCCATTGTATATTTTATTCCTTCGTTAAGCCAAATTCTATGAGAATAAGATTCATTTATTCCCTCACCTTTCCCCATTTCCCCTCCACTGTAAAAGCCTTTTCTTGTCTGTTTCATGTGAGATATTTTACCTCATTCTCCTTCTTTCTCCTTCTCCTAGTATAATCTTCTCCCACCCCTTAATTTTATTTTCCAGGTTATCAGCCCTTCAACTTCAACTCACCCTGTGTCCTCTATCTATCTACCTATACAAACATATAATTTTTTCCCTCCCACTACCTAACACTGACAAAGAACTTATGAGTTACAAATATCATCTTTCCCTGCAGGAATGTAAACAGTTCAACCTTAATAAATCTCTTATGATTTCTCTTTCCTGTTTACCTCTTCCATGTTTCACTTGAGTCTTATATTTGAAAGTCAAATTTTCTATTCAGCTCTGGTCTTTTCCACAGGAATGCTTGAAAGTCCTCTATTTCATTGAAAGACCATTTTTCTACCCTGAAGGATTATACTCAGTTTTGCTGGGTAGGTGATTCTATGTTGTAGTCCTAATTCCTTTGCCCTCTGGAATATCATACTCCATGCCCTCTGGATCCTTAATGTACAAGCTGCTAAATCTTGTGTTATCCTGATTGTGTTTCCACAATACTTGAATTGTTTTCTTCTGGCTGCTTGCAATATCTTCTCCTTGACCTGGGAATTCTGGAATTTGGCTACAACATTCCTAGGAGTTTTCCTTTGGGGATCTCTTTCAGGATGTGACTGGTGGATTCTTTCAATTTCTATTTTGCCCTCTGGTTCTAAAATATCAGGGCAGTTTTCCTTGATAATTTCTTGAAAGATCATGTCTGGGCTCTTTTTTTGATCATGTCTTTCAGATAGTCCAACAATTTTTAAGTTCTCTCTCCTGGATCTATTTTCCAGGTCAGTTGTTTTTCCAATGAGATATTTCACATTCTCTTCTATTTTTTCATTCCTTTTGATTAATGTTACAGTGCCTTGATTTCTCAAGTTGTCCCTATCTTCCAATTTCTCCATTCTAATTTTTAAGGAAGTATTTTCTTCAGTAAGCTTTTGGACTTCCTTTTCCATTTGGCTAATTTTGCTTTTAAGGGCATTCTTCTCATTGGCTTTTTGGACCTCTTCTGCCATTTGAGTTAGGCTATTTTTTAAGGTGTTATTTTCTTCAGTATTTTTGGGTCTCCTTTAGCATCATTCTCAGTTTTTCCTCTACTTCTCTTACTTGCTTCTCAAAATCCTTTTTGAGCTCTTCCATAGCCTGGGACCAATTCCTATTTTTCTTGGAGGCTTTGGCTTCATTGTCTTCTTCTGGTTGTATGTTTTGGTCTTCTTTGTCATCAAAGTAAGATAATATAGTCTGACTCTTTTTGCACTGCTTGCTCATGATCCCAGCCAATTACTTGAGTTATAAACTCTTTGTTAAGGTAGGAGTCTGTTTCCAGTGTGGAGAATGTACTGTCCCAAGCTTCAGGGGTTTTGTGCAGCTGTGTCCAGAGATACTTCTAGGGACCTGTAAATTTTCAGTTCTTCCAAGGTGGTATGATCAAGGGCGAGGTGTTTACTCCTTTCCTGGCCTGTGCTCTGGTCTATGAGCACTCTTTTCTGTCTTGGAACTGTGAGGAGGCTTTCCTCTCCAAAGCCACTACCAGCTCCACCACGCTAGGCTCCTCCTTGCCTCAGGACCGCTACCCAGAACTGTGACCCAGATCCAAGCACGGGCAAAGCAAGAGAATCCCGCACCAGCAGAGAGATCCCTGCAACCCCTTTCTAATCAGCCACTCTATTCCCCCTCAGTCTGTGGGCCAGAAGCTCAGGAGGCAGCCGCTGCCCCCGCCGAGCTTGGGGACTGGAGCTGAGACCACCAGCTTCTCTCTCTCCCCACTGACACAGACTTTTCCCACTGACCTTCCAAGTTGTCTTTGGCGTTCCTGGGTTGAGAAGTCTGGAAACCGCCACAGCTGCCCTCAATTCAGCCCTCTGAGGCCTGTTCCAGGGTCGCCATAGCCAGGCTGTCTTGGGCTGGAAATTTGTTTCGCTCTGTCTTTTTGTGGGTTCTGCTGCTTTAGAATTTGTTTAGAGTCTTTTTTTATAGGTATTTGGTGGGGTTTGGGGGAGAGCTCAAGCAAGTCACTGCTTTTACTCCACCATCTTGGCTCCACCCCTCAGGACACATCTTCTAATGTTTATACCATAAGCCAAACTCAATGACAACAGTGAACCACTAGATATGGCTCGATTACCTCAGTACCCAGTGAGGACATGGTACTTAAGGTACGTTGGGAAGAGAGGCTGAACCTGATCACTACATACCAAAGTGATTTGCAGGCAACATAATTCTAAAGGTGCTCAAAGATTACTTTCAACATATATCAAAAAGAAAAGATTCCAAAGAAGGAAATGTCAGCTATTGCACTCCTCCTTTCCCCTACCCCCACTCCCACAATGAGATGGTATCTGTTAACTACAAAAAAAAGTTGAAGTTGAATTAACACTACCCAAAGGCCTAGTTTATAATTTATACAGAAGAATGGTATACGAATATTGAAAGATTTTCTTGATGAAAAGAAAGGGTACTGATATGCTTTAGAATCTAATTTTTTATAGACTGTCCTCTCGACCTCAGGGTTGGTGCTCTATCCACTGCGCCACCCAGCTGCCCCTGAAGGTTATTTTTAGGCAAGTAGTAAATGTCTTGTCTTTTTTTTTTTTTTAAAGTTGATTATGATGGAATTTTTTTGAGGAGGGGGAGGGAAAGAATACTCCTTGACTGGATGCTTTATTAGCTATTGGGACCTATTATTTTATGAACTCGGGGCGGAAATTTGAGATTTCCCAGAATACTAATATACCTGTACCACTTATCACAAATCTATTACATACTTCATTTCCATCTAATTCTCTGATCCAGCTCATCCTCCCTATCCTGGTTGCCCATCTACCTTGTAGTCTGTTATGCAAAGGCTGAGCAAAGCAGGTCAGATGGAGAGCTGCTACTTCTTTTGAGGAGAACCTGGAGAACCAAAGTGAAAGAAATGGTTGTATTCTGAAGTGAGGATTTTGATTAGTAATCTTTCCACCTGCCTTAAAAGTTAGTGGGAAAGCACAGGCATGCCTGGGAGCAACAGGAATAGTGGTAGAGCACAGCATCTTTGTAATCACTCAAGGAGTGGGAAAGCCATCAATGAAACTTAACTTCTTGAAAGAACGTGATGGGGGCAGGTGCAGCACTAGTTTTATTATGGGACATCCTTTTAAGGTTGACAAGGTATGCTTTGGAAGTTCAGAGTGCAGAGAAGGTTTTCTAGTAAGGGACTTTCTTTCCAGATGATTGTAAAGCAAGAAAATTGCTTTCAGAACTTTCTTTTTGTAAAATTAGCACGATCTAATTTGTATGACTGGAAGTGTTAAGTAGGATTTAGGTATAATGTGTCAAAAATAGCTAATGTTTCTGTAGCACTTTAAGATTTGCAAAATGCTATATATTATATGCACATATACATATATAAAATCTCATTTGATCCTTAACCACCCTGAGAGGTGGATGTTATTATCATCTCCATTTTACAGATAAGGAAACTGAGGCACACAGAAGTTAAAAGACTTTCCCAGGGTCACCTATCTGTTAAGTGTCTGAGGCAGAATTTGAACTTAGGTCTTCCTGACCCAAAAGTCTAGCACTCTATCCTCTATGCTACCTGGATGTCCCTCCCCAACAATGGTTGAGTCAACATTACACAAAATATACCTGTATATTCATTCACAAAATATATTGGTATGCCACTTGGGAAAGAGCAGTAGACTCACCTCACCATTTCTGCCACACTTTCCTTTACCAATCAAATAATCTCAGGATTTGAGATATGGAGATAATGGATACGGCTCTCATTCTCAGGCCAGCTAGTTTTCTCCCCAAATTTTAGGATGACAACATTTCTGACTAGTTAATGTGACAAAGAATAACAGAATAGGGAACAACAGCCCCCTCTCTCCTTCTGAGCAAACTGTTTTCACCTTGTAATATTTTTTAAAATATATTTTCATTGAAAAACTGTATTTTTTAAAATTAAAGTTATTTTCACCCCCCCTCCCCATACTCACCTTTCCAGCTCCCATTAGTCTTAGGAACTTTTGTTTTCTTTCTTCATTGCCCAGGTCAGCTGCTTCCCAGTTGCTAGATCCAATCTAGACAAGAAATGAGGAGATTAGAGCCTTTTTTTTTTTAGGTGGGGGGGAAGGGGAAGGATGACATTAACATGTACTTGGAAATGGAAAAAAATATTAGATTTACATGGCCTAAATTTTCTATGTAGTTTACCCATGCAAATGAATAAACAAATATGCTGGGAACGTAAGTGCTTGTGTATCACTATTTAAAATCAAATATATTCGTTTTAAGTACTATCAAAAGAAATGACTGCCATTTACTTTTTTGTACCCTCTCCCCTCCTCTTTTTCTTGGACACAAAAGACACTCAATAAAGTATTACTGAAACTAAATTTTGACTAGTGATGCTGTTTTACTGCATATGCAATGGATAGTTTCCTTTGTTTTTAGTGTTCTTTTTTCATTCCTTTTCATCTACTCCTATGGTTTCAACTACCACTTAGAGTTAGGTAACTCCCAAATCTATATTCCCACCTGAGTTCTTGATGTGATTTCTGATCCTTTAGTTTCCCTAAACCTAATGCTTAACAAATTTTAAACAAAAGAAACAAGAAAAAAAAAATATATATATATATATGCCCCCCCCATTACTTAAACCAAGGCTACTTTCTAATGTTATTATTTCCATGAATACAATCAACATCCTTTCAGTTCTGTAGGCTCACTTTTTGGGAATCATCTTCAAATTCTAACCTCATATCATCTTTAATCATTATCACACTCATTCTTCCTCTGAAGTCTTTTAGAACCAACACAGCAAGAATTCAACCAAAGTGTTATATTATTTACTTTCCTGACTGGAAATGGAAAATGCAGCCACTCACATCTCTTTAGTACATCCTTCAAGATCATCTAAGTTGCCACTTTTACCCCACTTCTCTTGCAAACTAGTTACTCCCATACTTCACTTGATCATTACATTGATTTAAATTCTTCCTTCTAGTTAAACTGTTTCATCAGTCCTCCTAATATTAGCTTTATGACATCCTAGCTTTGCGTGTGATCTTCCCTCCCGTAAGTGATTAATTTACCTATTCCTTTAAGATTTCCCTGACCTACTCAACTCACCTGGAACCAGTCCCTCTACTTTCCATTCTAACAGCAAGTACTTCTAGCTTTATATGGCTGAACTAATTTGGGCCTATTCTGACATCTTTTTCAAATCTATGAAACTACTTTACTTTGCATACAATGAGTGCTCAATAAAAAACTGTTAGTTGACTCTGATGTTGTCTAACTTCTGGTTGACATTAAGAATAAATTAATTTCATCAAGTAGGTTTTAAAGAATGTGTTTATAATTAGCAAACTTTGTTGTTCTACAGTAATTCAATTTTTAGTCAAGGTTCCTTAAAAATATATATTGTATCAAATAACAAAAGTCCATCTTCCTAAAATGAAGTTTAGACATTTACAGGATACTATGGGATATAATAAGTTGTTATAAAATATCAAAGCATAACAAACTTTAGGCTTGTAAGATTCCAGGCCTAAATTTTCTTAAGTATCACAGAACTGATCAACTTTTCACTTTCTTGATTCACTCTTCCGCAGGACAAATGCTTGTTGACTTGACTATCTTTTACATTCTGCTTCATTAAGTGGTGTAACTCAGCAAATTCCATTTACCAATGGTTATTTTATAGTAGGCGACGCCTCTTTTTTGAGCTGACATCAAAATTTTCGAATCGAAAACCATGATTCCAACTTAAAGAATCATATATAGTTCAATTATATATTAAACTGAAAAGGTAAGATGAAAAGTTTTCTTTACTATAGTAGCCAAGCTATTCTAAAATATAGAAATATTTACACCAAGTACTGAATCTTGGTTCTAAAAATGAAAATTAACTCATAAGACTTTTTTTGCACAAGCAGAGGGCAGCAAGGTGTAAAATTATCAAAATAATCTTTTTAAAACAAGTTTTAAAAATCAAGCCTCTAATCTGGTTTGCTAAATAAATGTGACCTTCCTTTCAGTGCCCACACTTTTAGGCAAAATGTATCTAAAAGATAGCACTAAAAGAGCACGACAAATTCTCACCTGCCTACTCCAACATTTTTTATTCACTACAAGCCTCTTTGAGAATTTCAAAACAATATACGCACTTTCCCATTTCCCTGAGAGACGGACGAGTTAATTTTTTCCTACTCTGAAGATCGCATAGCCTCTCTGTTACAAACAGAAGCGTTAGCAAGCTGTTTTACAGTGCGCAAGGAAGCACTAAACGTAAAGACCCCTGCCCATGGATCACAGGGAGGAAGACAGATGGAGCCGCGCGTTGTTTCCCGTCCCGCTCGCTCCCCGGTTGCCGGTCAGAAGCCTCATCACCCCCGTAGTGACTACAAAGATGCAACATCCTGAGCTCGTGCATTCTCACGAGTTAACTCTTAGCAGCCCAATGCCAGACTGGCTGTAAACGTGCTTGGAGATCTTCGCTGCCCTCCTAACAGCTGAGCTCCGTCCGTCCCTTCCCCCCTCCCCAGGGGCCCAGCTGGGACGAGAGCTCACGGGGGTCAATCCTGCACCCCCCCTCCCATCCCCCAGGCAGGGAGCCTAGGACGCGCACCTCCCACAAAGGGAAAGCTCGGTGGCGCACGCGCCCGGGCCCCTGACCGCCGGAGTGGGGAACCCCTTCACCCCTCACAGCCCAAATTAAATGTGGGTCGCTCTCAGCGCCTCCCCCCGTCCCCGGGGAAAGACAAGGGGGCCGCTTCTTCCTCAGCCCCTTCTTTCAGTTCCACTTCCAGGCCTGGGGCGCCCCTTCCCCCACCTCCCCTAGAGCCGCCCCTGCCCGGGCCTCGGACCGATGAGTAGGCCTCGTTAGCCGGCCTTCCCCTTCCCCCTCCCCCGCCATTGTTATTTACATCGTCGTCAGGGGAGGCTGAGCGCTTCACTCCGTGCGGGTGGGACTCTCGGGCCGCACTCATCCTCCCGCCGACCCTGCCAAGGGGAACGCCGAGGCCGCCCACTGCTCTCCGCCTCTACCGTCGGCACCCAAAGCCAGCCGCCGCAGTCCCAACTCAGCGGCGCTCAGGATCGCGGGGCGAACCGGGCCTCCTCAGCAAGCGTCGTCGCCGCGCTCCGCCCATGCCGCCGACGCGACGCTCGTCCTTTCCCTCCCCCCAGCTGAAACGCTCTGGGAATTGTAGTTCTCTGGCTCGACCGTCTGTGACAGAAACAACGAGAGTTAACGGAAAGGACTACAACTCCCAGGAAGCCATGCGGCGCTCTCGCGCTGAGTGGCGGGAGTGCCCTCGGAAGCTTCGCCTTCTTCGGCCATTCTGGAGGCTGCGCCCGAAAGGGAGGTGTCGAGGTTCTTGGCTGCGGACGCGGGACGGCCGCTCGGCTCAAGGCTGAGCTGTCTTCCTGCCATCACTGTTGTCGTTATGAACTCCTCGGGTTTTAAATTCAGTGACATATGGTCATCCTCAAGGGCCCTAGCCAAAACCTTTAAAAAAAAAAAAAAGAAAATGGCTCCTGACCTCTAGAGCTTGTTGCGTTCCCCGGGGTGGCTTCTTCGGCGGGCAGCATCCTAAAAGGCCCTTCCAGGGGCTGCCCCCATTTGTCTATGTAGCTGTGCAGTTAGGCAGGCGCAGGCCGAGTACCTGCTCGGGGCAGGTGAGGGAGGGGGCATTTTTCTCTTTGGGGCAGTTGGGGGTGGGGCAGAGCAACAAAGGCAGCTGGAGTGGGGCCCGGGCACAAGAGATCTAGGCTCAGCCCTGATGCTCTCAGCGATCACCGAGACCTCATAGTCCAGCCCCATACCCTCCATTTTACAGAAGAGGAAACGGTCAATAAGCATGTGTTACGGCTCTGCTGTGTGCTTGCTTAGCTCTAGATATACAAAGAAAGGCAAAAGCCATCCCTGCCCCCGAGACGAAGTCTAATGGGGAAAACAGCATGCAAACAACTATGTAGGAACAAAATATTTAGGATATAAGTTGGAGATAATAGAAAGACCTAGCATTGTCAATAATAGCTAAAAGTCCGGCAGTTTTAGCTTTTAATAGCTTTAAGTTGCACTGATTTTTTGGAACATACATACCTTTTTTTTTTTTTTGGAATTCGGGTTAAGTGACTTGCCCAGGGTCACACAGCTAGTTAGTGACAAGTGTTTAATCTGAGGCTGGATTTGAGCTCGGGTCTATCTTGACTTCAGGGCCGGTGCTCTATCCACTGCGCCATCTAGCTGTCCACATATATACCTCTTTAAAGTTTGCGAACAGCTGTTAACTGTTTTTGGAATTTTTTATTTTTTGGAATATATACACTCTTTAAAGTTTGCGAACAGCTGTTAACTAACATGTTGACTAATTTCATCCTCATCCTCACCCTGGAAAGTGGGTGCTTTTACTATCCTCATTTTACAAATTAAGAAACTGAGGCATAGAAAGTTTAAGTGACTTGTCCAGTCACATAGCTAGAGGTAGAATTTGGAGCAAGTCTGCCCTGCTGCCACCTAACTGCTGAGGTAATAAAGCATTAAGTCCTCACTAGGTGCCAGGCACTGCTAAGTGCTGTGGATGCAAATAATAATAGCATTTACACAGTTCTTTAATGTTTGCGAAGCAGCATTACCTGTTACTTCATTGGGTTGTTACAGGATCCTGTGAAGTACATGTTATTATTATCCTCATTTTACTTTTGGGGAAACAGGTTGAGATAAAGGTTGAGTCACTTTCTTAGAATCACACAGCTAGTAAGAGTCTGAGACAGGGTTTAAACTCAGGTCTTCCTGACTCCAGGCTGGCATTGTAGACAGTGCACCACCTAGCATCATCCAAAAATAAAAACAGAAGAAGATTCCTGCCCTCAAGAAGCATTTATTAAGTGCTGGGCATAGAAAGACAAATGAAAACAGCCCGTGCCCTCAAGGTGCTTATATTCTGCTGGAGAAAAATGACAAGTATACAGATAAAAGAATACAAAATAAATACAAAGAAATTGGGTTGGGGGAATCGGGAAAGGCCTCTTGCTGGAGATAATACTTGAGCTAAACCTTGAAGGAAGCTAGAGGTTCTAAGAAGCATGGAGGAAGTAGGAATATGTTCTAGGCTTCAGGGATAACCTGTGGAAAGACACTGAGACTCTCCATAGAATATCCAGAACAGAGAACAGCAAGTAGGCCAGTTCCTCTAGAAAGTAGGGTGCATGGGTTTGGTGGGGGGGCGGCAAGAGAGATAATATATGATTAGCCTGGAAGGATAAACTTGAGCTAGGTTATGAAGGGCTTTAATTCCCAAAGAGAGGAGTTTGCATTTTATCCTTGAGGCAATAGAGAGATGGGAAATCTTCTTGAGCAGAGGAGTAACTTGGTGAGGCCTGTGTTTTAGGAATCTTACTTTTCAAGCTGTGCTGAAGATGGATTGGAGGAGGATACAGGGAGACCAACTAAAAGGCTGTTGAAACAGTCTAGGCTAGATGTCTTTTCCAAAGTTACAGGGAGTAAGCAGCAGAGCCAGAATGTGAACCCTGGTCCTCTGATGATAAATTCATGGCTTCAGTTTGGTCATTATGGTAGTGTGTTCAAAAACCTCCAGTAGCTCTCTATTGCATCTAGAATAAAATACAAACTCCTCAGCTAAGCATTTCAAGCCCTTCACAATCTGGCTCTACCTACATTTTTGGCTTATTTTACATAACTGATTTTCATGCATTGGGTGTTTGAGACACACTGACCTTGTTATTTCCTGAAATTGGTATTTTTATCTGTTGTTTAGTTGTGTCCGGCTCTTTGTGGCCCCATTTTGGAATTTTCTTGGCAAAGATACTGGAGTGGTTTGCCATTTCCTTCTCCAGCTCATTTTACAGAGGAGGAAACTGAGGCACAGAAAAGATTAAGGAAGTTGCCCAGAGTCACACAACCAGTAAGTGTCTAAGGTCAGATTTGAACTCAGGAAGATGAGTGTTCCTGAGTCTAGGCCCAAGCACATTATCCACTGCACCACATGGCTACCCTAAGTTGGTATTACCTCCCCCGCAATCCTTGGAATGTACTCCTTCCCTCTTAGAATTGCTAGCTATCCCCCAGTAGAATGAATGTAAGGTCCTTGAAGTCAGAGACTATTTGTCCGTTTTGTCTTTGCATCCCTACACACATCCCTAGCACAGTGCTTTGCACTTAGTAGGTACTTAATAGGTGCTCATTAGTATTAGGACCTGTATCACTAAAGCTGACCTGAGGCCTAAAGATTGTATTTGTGTATCACCTTATTTATTCAATTCCTTACTCCCTTAGAAGCTGGCTGAAGCTGTGAGTCTAAGTAGACTTGGGCCAACTTCATCCCAAAAGAACCAGGAGACCTTTGAGGTCATCTAGTCCAACCTGCATTTGAACAAGGGGTCAGACAAGATGTAGGCAGTACTATCTTCGACCTAAAGGACTAGGGTTCAGCTGGAGGAAACCTTAAGAATTCCTATAGTCTGATCCCCCTCCCCCTCGTTTTACAAAGAAGGCAACAAGCCTAGAAAAATGAAGCGATTTGTCCAAAGTCACTATAGTTAGAATTTGAATTTTGACTCCAACCCACGTGTCCTGAAGTAAGTTTATGATGGGAGATGTGACACCTTTGTTGACATGAAGTTTAGCTTGTGTGAAATGTCTTAAATGCAAGGCTCTCCAATGCAGATATTTTAAGATATCAGATAGCCATAACAGTATAAAAACTCAGGATCAGTCCAATTCTCTAATAATTAGAATATAATTTGTTCTGCCAGGAAGTAGAGCATAAGATCTACTCTATCTTTCAGACAAACAGAGAAAAATACAAAATAATACTTTATTCTTAAGAAGTCCAGCTTCTATGAGTGCATATGGAAAAAGAAGCATTTTAACTTTGCAATTTTGTTGTGAGAATGAGCCATGCCAGAGAAAGGAACCATTAATTAATACTAATGACAACCAAATCAGCAGACCTTTTCATGGCTCCTGGAAAATATTTTTTGGTAGTCGATGACTACTTATTCACAATAGATTCAAATCTTACTGGACCCTCTATTTCTACTGCTATCTGTATGGTAGCTTAGTTCTGATTTAATTTAATTAACCAAGCATTTATTGTGTCTACTATGTGTAAATCTTGGCACATAGAGGGAGAAAAAATGAAAGTGGTGTCAGAGTTTATATTCTTGGACTCAGAGATCGCTGCAGACGGTGACTGCAGTCATGAAATTTAAAGACACTTGCTCCTTGGAAGGAAAGCTATGGCAGATCTGTACAGCATAGTAAAAAGCAGAGACATCACCTTGCTGACAAACGTGTAAATCAAAGCTATGGTTTTTCCAGTAGCAATGTATGGCTTGGAGAGTTGGATTATTAGGAAAGCTGAGCGCTTTCAGACTGTGGTGCTGGAGAAGACTTCTGAGAGTCCCTTGGACAGTAAGGAGATCAAATCAGTCAATACTCAAAGAAATTAATTTAGGCTATATTTTGGCCACATAATGAAAAGACTGGACTTGTTGGAAAAGACCCTGGTGTTGGGAAAGATTGAAGGCAAAAGGAGAAAGAGGACAGTAGAGGATAATATCATGGAAACAATGAACTTGGACAGACTTTGAGAGATAGTGAAGGATAGAAGGACCTGGCATGCTGCAGTTTGCGGTGTCATGAAGAGTTAGATGTGACTAAACAACTCAACAACAGCAGAAAGTGTGAGTCACTGTGCTCAGCACTGGATAAAATAACTAATATATAGCATTTTAAGGTTTGCAAAGCACTCTGCATATCATCTCTTTTGATCATCCTAGTAGCCCTATGAAGTAGAAATTATTATTATTATCCCCATTTATGGCTGAGGAAACTGGCACATGAAGACAAAAATGAAAAATAGTAAACACAGAATCTACACATTCTACTATGGAATATGCCATATTCACAAATAAATAAGTACAAGATAATCTGAGTAGGGTAAAAGAACTAACAAATAAGCAGGAGGATCTGGAAAAGCTTCCTGTAGGAGGTAGAATCTGAGCTGAACTTTGAAGGAAGTGAGGGTTTCTGAAAGACAAGAATCTAGTAGGAAGTTCATGCTAAGCCTTGGGGATAGC